CAATGAGAGACGAACTGAATGAAACAACGTCGCGCGGATTATCGCTCTTCTTATAGCAGCAGATTAATTACTCTGACACTCGATCATACTATAGCACTATGAGAAATTCAATTTGAAAGTCTCAATGACATCGTTGAACTTGAAAAGTCTATTCGATTTTACGCACCTACAATCATATCTTTCTATCGAATATTTTTATTTAATTTTAAAAAGTGCAATGCTATTACAACACTCTTTTGTCAATCGCAATACATTTTATCAACAATATTATATCAGCAATATCGCGTTGTCGAGCCATCCATATCTCATCCTTTCCTAGCTTGCGAAAACGATAATCGGCGATCTTGAAGTGAGAAATGAATTGTAAAGGCGTGCGGATTCGTTATTAGTCAAAGAGAAGCTAATTTCTCGAGAATTAAAATCTTCTCTTGGACGCGAATACCGCGAGGATATCTTCAAGGGGCGAGGGGTCATCTATCTTTGGATCCTCCGAATGTGCTTTACGAGATGATTTAGCGGAATGAGACTGACAAGATTGCTTTGCCTACTTGATTAAAATATCGAAGTTACTGCGTGTCCGCGCGAAATGCTAAAAGGGACTTTGCAGAGGCAGAGCTCGTCGAAATAGAGATTCTCTCTCTCTCTCTCTCTTTCTCTCTCTCTCTCTCTCTCTCTCTCTCTCTTTCTCTTTCTCTCTCTCCCTCTTCCTCTCTCTTTCTTTCTCTGTTTCTCTCCTTCTCTTTGGCTTTAAAGTTGGCAGCGGGTCTCGCCAATTAGAATGGGAATGAAAGCTCATAAGCCGTTGGCACGCTAACTCAAGCGGTCGTGAAATTGCGAGGGCCTTCTCTGCGAAACTTGTGCTCCGCTTCAGCGAGACAAGTTTGTATGGTGCTTATACAATACACGCACCTCTTGTCGCTTCCATGAAAACGCGATTTAACACGAGACGTTGTACATAATACCAAAACTAAGTATCTTCTCAGACAAAAACACCTATGCGTCGCTATTAGAGAGATGACATACTGAATGCACATACATACAAGTGAATTTTTTAAGACTCAGAGATTTGTATCTATATACCAAAGCTTATATCCATATTTTTGTAAAAGATTACGAAAATTATTCTTTTTATTTTTTATCTTGTCAATTGAGTAGTCTTATACAAAGTAATATAAATATAATTAAACGTCACGCGACAGGGAGAATAAATCCATAGAGATCACTCGTGAGACAAACGATATTTCGACGTCATTCTGAAGTCGATTACACACGAGAAACAAATCATCATTTCGTGAGATTCGCGAACTTTCCGGCCGCTGACTCCGCCCACGTTTCCGGCTGTCTGGTCCTTGGCTCGTAGCTCGACGGCAAGATTGCTTAATGACCAGACGACAGAGACGAGTATCTTACACCTGCAGGAAGATCGATTTGTCTGTAGGACTCTAGACGGCGAGAGAACGATCGGTCAGAATCTCATTTTAGTCGGGATCAAATTTGATCTCTCTTTACCTCGAGTTACGAGCGAATCGCAAACTGGTTTCCCACCGATTTGACGGTAGCCCTCGGGGGTTTCCTCTGGGGGGGTCAAGACTTCCGCTCTCGATCTTCAATAGTTCGCCGAGCTTACCGCACTTCTGTAAATTGTCACGGATCATGATGTGTCTCCTTGATTCGTACGCTTGTTTACGCTCGGTTTTCCGAGTCTTCTAGTTCGACTGCACTATGGAATTAGATATTGCGTTTAATAATAAGTTTAATATAGACGGGCGCCCTATATTAATTATACGCTTTCAACTCGAGAATTTTAGGGTCTTAAAGTCGATATTTGCTTTAGGAAAATATTGAGGAATTATCAACGATAATTTTTCAGTCGTAAACAATTGAATCATTCTAACATTATTTCTGCATTACACGTTTAGGAGAAGCTTGTTAGTCTTTGTCTGGCGACTTCTAGTCGAAGTATATATACTTACACCAAGGTAACGGAATTTATTACACTCAAGTAGATGCGAATCTCTCTAGTTACGAAGTTTCAAGAAATAAACAATTTCTTCTAGTTACAAACTTTTAAGAAATGAACACTTTATTCTCTTACAAGAAAGAGCGTCGGATGACGGATAAACAGCGATTTTCAATCCATTTAACGAGCACAGAAACGTATACACTTTTTACAAATTTTGGAATAAATTTAATCTTTTATAGACACACACATACTCACACAAATTATATTTTTTATCGTAAAATTTCCTTGTATTTAATTTAATCAATAATATTTTTTTAATTATGTACGTTATACTTGTATACAGTTAATAAAATATATTAACAAATATTTGATACATTTAAAAAATTGATAAACTCAGCTTATATATACATTTAATTTACGTATATATACATTTTAAATTTATTATGTTTGCCAATTAAATTTTGTATTGTGTATCTATAAAATATGAATATTTATTTATATAGTCATATTTCGATTTTATACATAAATGTTTATATATATAGAACTTTTACAGATTTTAAATTTTATAAATATTAAAAAAAGTCACAAAAAACAAATATTCATTTTTACGTCAATCACGAAATGTATGTCATATCATAAAATATAGGTGTAGATTAAAAAATCTGAAAAATTCTAGTGAAAAAAGTTCGGTAGACGATATTATATATATATTTTTTTAGAATAAATAATACATGATAAAACTATGTTCTAACGTGGATGAATCCATTTTTCAATGTTTTTTAAGATGAAACTATTATTTCAGTTATATTTCTTAATTACTTGCTCTCGGTGAATTTTTTGATACGATTAAATAATTAATTATAATTATAATTTGTAATTTTTAGTTTTTCTTGAAACAATATACAACTCAGTTTATCTTATTTTTAAAAACATTACTCATGTATAAGTCGAGTGCTTCATTGGAATAAAAGACATTTATTAATACGCAATTGAGATTTTAATATTCGCACACTGATGTGATTCATCATTCGCAATATATTTTAAAAAATTCGAAAACGTTTACATTAATGAAACAAAAATCACCGAACGTGAACAGCAAAACGAGTAAATAAATTTGTAGTACAAACTCGACTTGGCGATAAAGAGAAACAGTTGTGCGAGAGCACAAATGTATAAAAAAAAAAAAGAAAAAAAAATACAGTTTGATTAGCAGGCGAAGATGAAATGGAAATTCGTGCGCGTACGTGTATTAAACGAAGTTAAATTGCGTTTGAAATGACTAAAGTAAAAATACAAAGTAATACAAAACAAAAAGGGTAAAGCGATCTTGGAATGAGCGATGTTAAAAGGGAGAATCGATAATCAGTCACGAGAAAATATTTAATGAAGCCAATACAAGTCTTGATTTAATTTTCTACAGTTTGCTCAAACGACATAATTGCTATTAATTTTATTTAATTATTCTGAAAAAATATTTATGTAATTGACCAATGGATATATGGTATATACATATATATCTTTATCGCGCGCGATTATTTTTTTTTTGAATTATCAAAGATATAATTGATGTTTAAATGAAAAAAGAAAATTCTTCGAGTACCGATTAATCGATAAAACATCGCCCATCCTTGGAGCTGATGGGTCGAGAGGCGGGGTGAAGCCGTCACAGGGAATATACGTATGGGAGAAACACTGAATGGGGGGGAAGTTCGAGGCCGGCGGAAGCGCGAGAATTCTGCGCCGGAAGGGACAAAAGGAGGGCGGAAGGGTGGTTTTCTTAGAAAACCTTAGAATGGATTTGAAGCTGTCGATAGAAAACGGAAAAGTGTGCTTAAGTGTATGTGTGTGTATGTATGCTTTCGTACATTTGTGTATGTATGCATGTGCCAGTTGTGTCGACGATACACGAAAGGCGGAAAGAGTATCTTTAGAGGAACGGTGAATCGTGAAATGTAGACGAACAGGGCAAAGAGGTGGAAACTGTCGGTTGCGAGCATATCGGTCAGAGGGATCGTATCGATACCATTACGGTAGAGAATACGAAGTGTCCCGAAATCACGGAACGTTATTTTAACCACGGCTTTAAATCTTGTAAGCTCTCAACTAAATGAAATTTGAGATTGTTTGAGGAATATGATTCCATCATTTGTTTTCTTTTTCCCCCGCTGCTAAAAGTCTATTACTTTCAATCATGAATTATTCGAAAATTATCGATGAAACTGTGTAAAATTCAATCTGACGAAACTCGGTTATGTGAAATCTATTTTAAAAACTATAAATTTTATACGTCGCGGAATATGTGAGCGAATATTTTCCTTAAATTTTGCAAGCCAATTGCAAAGTTTTACGTATCCAGAGTTTTAAAATGAATTAATCTATCAATTGCGAAATTTTTGAGAAATTATTATCGAAAGCGTTGTACAATGTCTTAACGTTCGGTTAACCATTAACATTAAGTTGTGTCAGAAGCGAATTCTAAGTTCCGAGTTCGTTAAAGGTTTCGAGAATCAAGGAATTTTAACGATCCGTAATGACACTCGACTATTCATCGATTCAGCAATCACGTTCAGTCAGAATACCAACGAACGGTTCTGCGGCCGAATGCAAAGTACTCGTTTCACCGTCGCTCTTTCCGTTTTACGAATCGACGAAGAGATCAAACCGAGAGTACGAGAGCGAGTTGTCTGCGGTTGTCGTGTGTCGTGTGCATGTATGTACGTGAGCGCGTGTATATGTGTCTGCATATCAGTATGTGACAGAGAAAGAGGGTGACTGGGAAAGAGGCAGGGGTTGCACGAGGGAGAAAATGAAAGGACGTGTACGAGGTGGTTCGAAAGAGAGAGAGAAAGAAAGAGAGAGTGTGAGAGGGGGGAAAAGAGAGGAACGAACCGGAGGAAGGCAAGTAAGAAAGAAGGGAGAAAATAAAAGAGAGAAAGAGGAGGAAGGCTCCGGCGGGGGCCGCTCGTCCATAAACGAAGGACACTGATCACATCCCCCTCGGACTGATCGGCTCTCTTTCTCCCTTCCTGATTCGCAGGTACGTCTTCACGATAGTCAGCTACTTGATTGGCGTCTTCATATTCGCGACCATCGTCGGCCAGGTCGGCAACGTCATCACGAACAGGAACGCGAACCGTCTCGAGTTCGAGAGGCTCCTGGACGGCGCCAAGACCTACATGAGGCACCACAAGGTGCCGGGCGGTATGAAACGACGGGTGCTCAGGTGGTACGACTACAGCTGGTCGCGCGGCAGGATACAGGGCGGGGGTGACATCAACACCGCTCTCGGTCTACTCCCGGACAAGCTCAAGACCGAGCTGGCGTTGCACGTGAACCTCTCGGTGCTGAAGAAGGTCACTATTTTCCAGGTGAGCTTCCCCGCTCACGCACGCGCGAGCAGCTCTCCCCCCCGCGTCCCCCGATGATGAATAAATTCAACGAAACGAGCAACGATATATAACCGGGGATATTCCCGCGATCCTTCACAATAGAAGTCAGGATCTGAGGAAAGCGGAACGAATGTTTTTCATGATTGTTTATTGAAGCGAACGCTTCGACAAATATCAGATCTCACGGAACATATATATCGGGGTGTTCGATTATATCTGAATTTAGGACGCTTACTTTTACGAATAAGATGTAATAGAAGTCGCGAAAAAATTGCGAGAGATAAAAAGTATGAATTGTGCATTGAAATTTGTGCATCGAACGCGCGTAGCGCGGATTATTGATATAGCGAAAGCGATAACGTTCGCAAGAAAATGAAGTTCTTTAAAACGCGAGGCAATACTTTCGCAGTAAAAATGAGAGATTATTCATGCGAAGCTTACTTTCAAGGTATGCTTTTGTTTCATACTTTTAATTTAAAATGAGTGCTTTTACTTCTCTACCTTTGTTATTTAGTTACGAACTTGTTTTGCCTAATGATTGGATTTCTATCAACGCTTTCCCTTCTCTCTGTGAGGAAATTTACATCGACCGGAGATTTTTCTCGTCATCCAAAGGAGAACAAAGCCGGAGGAAAGAAGGGAATGAAAATGAGAAGGTGCGCATCTATCGCGATATCGCAAAAAATGAGAATAAAATTGGCTCAATCAGTGCACAGACGTACGACCGACGAGAATGAAAAATATCTTCTCGATCATGTTCCAAGTTTTATCGCGATGGTAAACGGAGAAATGAATTAGGTGGGAAAAAGGTACAAACTGTTCTCGAAAAAGAGTATGCTCCGATTTATTTTATTTGAAGGGGAATCGCGGTTCTCTTGCGCGTGAAAGGATATGCGAACCTTCGCAATCTTGCTGCTCCAAAATGTGAATTACACACGCTATTAGCTTCCATTTTTCAATTATCGAATTCGCTGTATTTTTGTGCTTGAAAAGAATCAAATAAAACAAATTCGGAATTGTCGAGAATATGTCATAGTTTTTATAAATTCGTATGATGAAACAGAAAAAAAGGTTTTTCGAATTATAGACTAGACTCATCTGATGAAGATTTCATAAATATGACAATTTGCAAGCGTTGCAGCAACGCAGGAACCTTTGGAATAAACAATTAGAATTAAAATAAAATTATATATTCTGAATAGTACAATATTTTTACTATATATTTAAATGAGACTGGGTATTCTTATTTTAAAACAAATATCCGTTTTTGTAGCATATAGACATATGAGCATATTTATACAGATCTCTAATACACAGCTACGTCTCGTTAGCAATTCTAATTACTTTGTCAGCTTAAAAGTAAATTCACATTATTCATAGGAAAATGTGATTAAAAGTAATGACATCTGGGATGATGCATTTCGCATTTGCCTTGTTTTCGTTAACAACATCGCGCAAACAACTTAATTCAGTAAATATGTCGTAATAAATATTCGTGTAATTCGTAATGAATGATGTAAACAGCAACGAAGCAAATATGCTTGATATTTTAAGACACGTAGGAAAAGAGTATAAATTTTAAAGTTAAAATATTTTAGCTTCTCAGGCGTACAGTAACAAAAATCTCTCTGATAACTCATGTATCTTTGTAGCTATTCTGCAGCTTGCAGCTTCTATTTCGACGAAACAAAATCGAAATCGTCCTTTTTGCGGTCTTATTGTGTCATGCGACCCAATGTGTTAATAAGTAAGTGGAATTTGCGGTGGTAAAATACCGCGCGGTTTTTTCATGAGAAATATGATCGCAAGGAAGATTTCAGCGGACTCGGGATATATATGAATCTCTGTTAAGTGAACGACGTTAAAGCCGGGCAAATATTTGAGCGAAAACATTGGTTTGTGTACTCTACGTCCAGAGGAAAACTTTTAAGAGAGCACTAGAGTGAGATTTTAAAGACATGACGGCCACATTTATGACACAGCCCAATTAGAGTTCTTCCGCCTGTCTCTGTTTATGCGTATTATTTTTCGCTTTCTTCCGGAGTGCGTTCTCTAATTCTCACGATCAACTTAAAAGAGATAAAATAGAGGGATACTACAATAATTTTTTTCTCTAACGGAGCGAAAAGCTGCCGCCAAGTTCGAGGGTAATCGTAAGAGGGTCAAGCCGTTTCTCGGCGGCGCAGCCACTTAAGGGGTTAAGGATAGGAGTGTTTTCTTGGACGATCAGTTTATACGTTGCTACCAGCCGATCGCGAGAACTTGGGATGATTCGGGAACTGTAATGTAAAGGAGATTTACTCGTGTAACTACTTAAGTTCCGCTATCCGAACGAGTGGCGCGGCGGTTTCTGTAATCCGTGAGCCTCGACCTACCTCTTGTAAACGTAAACACTTTTCCTCCGCCGCGGCGCCGGAAGCTTATCGTCCGATAAAAAACGAGAAGAAAAAGAAGAATAAGAATACAGGTGCGGAGAAGTGCGCGCGAGGAGTATTTGGAAAAGTTCTACGGCGAGAGAGCGGAGAATCATTACGGAAGAGATATGACACGGTAGCTCCGTCACGGTGGATTTTCTCTTGATCGCTTCGAGTTTTCGCGCCGCGCAGAATTTCTCGCCGCATCGTCTCGTATGCTAAAAATGGACGACGGAATCGTTAAATGTGAAATCTTTTTGACCTTAAGAGTAAATTTGCTTGCGGAAGTCGCGTTATTAACGCGTCGTGAAACGACCGCGTCGGGGGAATATATTTTTTCACCTACGGGACCTACGACGGCGACCGACGGCGCGGCGGCGACGGGAAGAGGAAAACGGAAAAAAACGCGATACAAAAGGTAGAGCTAAAAAGTTAAGTCTCTGGAAGGTAAATGGAGCGCACGTGATAAACTGATATAAAGTGAAGTGCCGTTGGAAACTTGCGAGGCTTCTCGAGGGCTCTCGGCGAGGAAGAGAAATCAAGAGAAATTGCAGCAAATCGTAATCGTCGAAACGCGTATCTCCTCTACTCGAAAAATTCAACTGCATCTCGCGTGTGAAAATTCCCGCAAGAGATACGTATACGAATACATAGTTAATTCTAATTAACTATGTATTTTAATGTAGTCTCTTTTTTTTTTCTTTCTCTCTCTTCCCAGAATATACAACTAAAGAGAGAAGTAATTAAAGTTGTCGAATGCGCGTCAGCATCCGTTTTTATTCATGATAAATTTACCCGTGGAGGAACAAAGCTCGAAACTTCGTGAATCCTGCCTCAACTCTCGTGATATTTGCAATAGTAAACTTGCAACATTATTCATTCAGTGATCCTGCTCAGAATGTTCGATAACTTTGGTTTCGCGCCTTTGAAAAATGATGTATGGGATAGCTGAGTACGCACATATATTTTATACATTTATAATTTTATTCCTCGTATATTTTAAGCACAATCGCGGTAGAATTGTAATTCATAATCAGATGCGTTTAATTATTAATAGAATTCTGTCCCCACATTCTATCGCAAATTATAATTTACAATAAGGGATTAAAGGAAAATTAAACCAATCAAATTCATATATATTTGGCTTTCGCTCTTCTATTGCAATAAAATGTACAAATGTCTTCTAACCGCAATAAAATGTTTAAACTCGAAATAAAATGCTTTATTTGTTTTGTGTGAACAATAATTAAATATTACGACGGCGATTGATTTATTACAAAAGTACATTGCATCACCTCGCGCAATTTATACGCGTTGAGACTCAGACAAATTTGCTAACGTATTTTGTAAGTAATAGATGAACGTGGAAACTCTACTCTATATATTATAACGTTACTTGCGCGAAACGCGAGCATCTGCTGCAGACGTGATTAAATTTGATTCTGCGCCTCTAACGAGGAGATCATAGTAAGTCTCAACGCGGAGATTATGCATATTGAACGATATCGACGTATGGGACATATTTTAATTAAAATACTTCTCTCTTTTTACCGGCTGCATTTTTTATTTATAATATTCGCGAAACTACGTATTTACTTATAATGAGATTTCTCACCTTCAAAGTCGGTTTTTTTTTTCGATAACATAAATGTTGTGTTCCAATATATCACGTTTATATTGCTTTACCCGGAGATTGTGTCAGATTTTCTGTCACATCCTGCAGAAAATTGGATTATGAAACAGGATGGCTTCGTGGTTCTTTACAAATAAAGTCGAGCGAAAATAGATGTTCAACCTTCTTCTAAGACAGAGGCTGTCAGAAGCCTTTGTACAGTTCTTCTTCTTACAGTAACAAGGCTATCGCGCGGGCTAGGATAACAAGGTTGGCGCGTTACGGACGTCTGTCAAAGAAGTCGGTCGATATCTATAATTCGCCCATGAAATTTCATTAATCCGTGTCGGATCGTACAAATTGAGTCGTTCAGGTGTTAATTGCCGAAACAGAGAAAGCAGAGCCGCACTAATTCCGGCGCGTACCAAACCACCTGTGAATCGAAGCTACTATCGAAATATCTTGAATTTTGCATCCTAGAACCCAAAATCAAACATCCATCAGACGAGAGTCAAGAAACCTGTTATGCTATGTAATATACAATATGTGTTGCTGATTCAAATTTTAAATATCTCAAAGAATGAAATATTGTCCGTTCTCGTCGACTTATCCCACAAAACATGAAGTTATCTCGCGACGCAGAAAGTCGGACGATAACAAGAGACGTGAAAATGTATAAATCACGCTGCAGAAAATCCGACCTCAACTCTTTCGCACATACGGACTACCCGGCGAGTCGACGGGACAGATATAATATATCTTTTATATGCGCGACGCGCAAGAATCCCATCTTATAAATTCCACGTTCTGAGGGATGCGTTCGCGGCGGCTGGTTTCGGGGGCCAGCGGAGATCATAATCGCGCAGTTAACCCACTTTGTTGAAAGTTTTAGAAAAAAAAAAACTGACCTAAATTTAATTTTCTCAAACTCTTCGCGCGCTTCAAGATCATTC